AATAAAAAAAGTTTACAACTTTATCAAACAAACGCAGAGATCGTTTATCGGTCTTCTGCTTGCGTGGGATCTTTGCCTGTACCGGGGTTTATCCGTGGACCACCGTTGATCAGATCTACTTGCTGAAAAATTGGGCAGAGCTTCGTCTATCCGCGAAGGGATCGAGAAACTGTAGCTCTTATCTCGGCGAAGCGAGATAATCACTCTTCTTAAGATTAGCACAACGGGATAATCCTAAGGAACGAACCGGGCTGCAGATCTAACTCCTCCTCCTCTCTGAAATCTGTGCACTTTAAGTCTTCAATCCGGCGAAGCGAGATAATCACTCTTCTTAAGATTAGCACAACGGGATAATCCTAAGGAACGAACCGGGCTGCAGATCTAACTCCTCCTCCTCTCTGAAATCTGTGCACTTTAAGTCTTCAATCCGGCAGGGCTTCGCCGAGGCACGAGAATTCCAGATCTGAAAAAATGAGGCTCCGGGGCTTCTATTTATAGGCACGGGACAAAAACTGCTTAGAGACACCTCAGGGTGTCTCAAACTTGGCCGAGACACCCTAGGGTGTCTCAAACTACTCCGAGACACCCTAGGGTGTCTCAACTTGGGCCGAGACACCACGTGGTGTCTCACCTAAGGTTGAGACGTATTTTCACCTCCTCGTCCGTTCCCGCCGTAATTTCTTCGTCCGAACTCGGATTTGAGCGATTCAAAGTGCGTTGGAAAGCCGACGAGACGTTCTATAAGCTCCAATGATTAAATCATCCGTGAAATAAATGAGACACGAAGGGTATTTCACCGTTTGTGAACGATACGAGGTCCCCGATCAGTTCGTATCCTCGTTATTCTGAAACTCCGTTGTTTCACGTAGTTCGTCGGTTTACTTCAAACGTTCACCGACATCAACCAAGCTTCTGTGAACCAGATGGTGACGTTCATCGTCATTTCTTAACACTGAGCTGTTCGTGGAGACCTATAGGTATTTTTCGATGCCTACAATATTGTCATATTTATATTTGTTAGACATTAATTGATTTTGATTTTATTTTCTCATTGCTTGCACATACAACCATTAAGCTTAAGTATTTTCACATATTGTATAATTTGGGGTTGTGGTGAGTATAGCCTTGAGAGTGAGCCTAAATTGTGTTCTCACTATTGTAGAGAACAAAATCTTGTAATTAAGCTTTATTGTGAAAGTATCACTTTGTAATACACATTTACACCAAGAGGAGTGTGTGGTGAGGACGTAGTCGATACCAAGAGGAGTGATGTCGGTAGTAAAGCCTAGAGAGAGGTAGTAAAGCCGAGCACTTGAGGGAGGCGATACGTGAGGACCAACACTTGAGGTTATAGTTTGTGTATGTACATTATGAGAGATTTGTAGAGTTTTCGGTAAGCTAGAAAACCGAGTATGTAGAGAAGTTCCGGCTTCCAAACCGGGTGTGTTGATAGTGGAGTTCTTCTCGGGAGTGGGGAGCAAAGACGTAGGACGAAAGGTCCGAACTCTGTGATCATATTATTGTGTTTGGATTGCTCTTTGTGTCCACTATCTGTTTATATTATTTCTTATTTATTTTCCCCTTTGTATATATATCCTTGCATATACCTTTCTGAATATCATCATTGTTAGGATATATTTATTAATTAATTTTAACCGGCATTAATATCTAATAATATTAGCAATAGCCCTATTCACCCCCATATAGGGTACTTTCAAAAAAGAGGTTATTAAGAGGTGAGTTGAGATCTTTTGGTGATGGTTATTTTGAGTGTTTGAGAGTTGTAACCCATTGTATTTCTCCTCAATATAGTAAAATCTTCCCATCCTCTTCCCGTAAACGTAGGCAACTTGTCGAACCACATAAATCTTTGTGTTTGTGATTGGTTTGTGCCGTTCTTTTATGAATTACACTCGTTGGTTGTTCTCCTCTCATTGCTCGATGACTCATTTGGTTCGCGAGCACGCTTACACTGATGCTCAACAATTGGTGTCAGAGCTCTAGGGTTTCAGACCTAGGGTTTTTTTTAAGTGGAGAAAAATTCATTGTTGAAAGCTTGAATATTGGAGATCTAGGCTTCGGTGGAGATAACATTGCGGAGTTGCCAGTTGGAGATCTTGCCTTCCTCGTGTGGTTGGGAGTTCATGTTGGAATCCAATCTAGGGTTCAAGTTGGGTAATTTCTCAATTCTATTAGTTGTTCAAATTTTCTCTACAATTTAGACTTAGCAAGCAATGACAGAGATAGTGGTGAAAGCAGCAAGGCTACGACAAGTACAGTTCAGGTTGCACTTTAGAATATGATGATTCAGTTTTCGAGCAAGTTTGAGATGAATGATTTGGGTGAAGTGAAGCGCATTTTGGAGATGAAGATCACCAGAGATAGAGATAAAGGTAGAATTAGTTTGACACAAGTGGCTTTTTTGAAGAAGGTTTTACAGCGATTCAATCTGAGCATGGAGATGAATCCAGTTAGTATACCTTTGGGAGCCCATTTGAAGCTTTCAGCTGACCTTTCACCGAAGACAATTGAAGATAGAGAGTTGATATTTAAGACTCCATATGCGAGCGCAATGGGAAGCTTGATGTAAGCCATGGTTTGTACAATGCCGGATTTATCACAGGCAGTTAGCATGGTTTCACGATACATGCACGACCCGGGTCCGGGTCAATGGGATGTCGTGAGGTGGATTTTGAGGTACATTCGAGATACTCTCAACATTGATTTGGTGTTTGAACGGGACACTAGTGGTGGACAACTATGTATTGGGAACATAGATTAAGACTATGCTGGAGATTTGGATAAGCGTCGGTCGACGACGGGATATGTGTTTACTTTGACTCGTTTATTTAGTGTATCAGAGATGCACATTGCAGTCTACAGTGGTTTTGTCGACGATGGAGGCAGAGTATATGGCGATTACGGAGGCTGTTAAGGAGGTGATTTGGTTTCGAGAACTTTTGGAGGAACTTGGTGTTTCGCAGCGATCCGTCGCTATTCATTATGATAGCATGAGTGCTATCTATTTGGCGAAGAATCAGGTTTTCCATGCGCGGACGAAGCACATTGACGTTCTTTATCACTTCGTCCGGGATGTTCTTGAAGATGTGGAAGGTCCACACAAGAGACAATTCAGCAGATATGCTCACAAAGGTGGTCCCGAGCAACAAGTTCGATCATTGTAGAAACTTATTGCGGATTTGTGCTTGTTGAGGCCTTTCGAGGCCATTTCGATGAACTACGGACAACTTGATCCCTTGGGAGAGGGGGTACGTAGGCAACCACATTGGTATAGCCGGATTTGGAAAGACCACACATTAGTGCTCTTGTTGGTATCGGCTCAGTTTTGGGAACACTTCGCCGAGGTGGAGAATTATTGTATAGCAGGTTATTGGGCCAAACAAGATTCCTAATTTGTTTTGGTTTTAGTTTTAGAATTATTGAGATTCCTAGTCTGTTTTGGTTTTAAAATTGTTGGATTCCTACTCTGTTTTGGTTTTAGGGTTTCTATATATATAGAATGTTTTAGAAGAGATTTGTAGAGAGAGTAAAAGAGGTTGTTTTGAGCACTTTGAAAGGTAGATTTCTGAGAGGTGAGTTGATATCTTTTGGTGAGGGTTATTTTGAGTGTTTGAGAGTTGTAACCCATTGTATTTCTCCTTCATATAGTAAAATCTCTCAATCCTCTCATCATGGACTAGGCAACTTGCCGAGCCACGTAAATCTCTGTGTTTGTGATTGGTTTGTGCCGTTCTTTTATGAATTGCACTCGTTGGTTGTTCTTCTCCCGTTGCTCGATGACTCGTTTGGTTCGCGAGCACGCTTCCGCCGACGCACAACAAATAATCCGTCGGCACAACAGATAATCCATTTGGTAAACCGTAAACTCATTATTTATGTTTAATAGAACGCATGCTAATTTAATTAATTAATTAATTTATTTTTTACGTTGTGCATAATCTAGATATAGATTTATCCTATTGCATGAGAAAAATTATCCTGGACCTTACAGCGGAACAGATAAAATGGATCCCAACAAGTCAAGTACTAAGTCGTCTTGATAGTTGGTAGCTGGATTCCACAAAAATTATAATAAAACTTCATAATAAAACAATAAAGGTATTAATTATACGATTACTTGAAAGAAAAAGGATTGTATAATATTAGTGGGGTTGACAAGTCTATTTCTGGCAAGAAAGTTTCTGTTAAAATCTTCTAGGTTTCAGAAAAATATTTGGAGACGAGATTTCAGTAATTCTCATTTCATGTCTCTCACATATTTCGACATACCCGCTCTTATCTTGATATGATTCGGAAAATATGACAGCCAATTATGAAATCCCACAAACAATAACATCCAAAGGCTTCAAGTACTCATAATTGATTCTTATGTTTATTTTACCTTGCTTATCAAGCTTTCTTTGTTTGTATTTTTAAGGTTTTCTATTTTGTTTATTTTTTATTTTTGCTTATTTTGTTTATTTTTTATAGTGAGTATTAGATTTAGAATGTTTCACAACCATTCACTTAATATCAATATTTGACTTAAAAATAATAATCTCTCCACTATTTTTTTCCGTAGCGTAGGGGATCCAAACTTCTTTTCCCCACTTAAAACTACCTTAAAATAGAGTGGTTATATGGAAACAACCACATTTCAATTTTAATTTATACACAAACCACATTTAAAGTGCGTTTGTGTTGCAGTCAACCATCTCTCAATCAAAATTTCCACTAAAAACAAAAACGTAAGCTCTATATTTTCACATTCAAGGTATGTGACTAGTATCCTAACTAATCCTAAACATTAATAACATGAATCATGTGCTTTGAATGTGATTTTTAAAGGAAATTTTTAGATTTTCAATGAACATTTTAACTGAGAGGCTTGATTGCAACGGAAGCCCACTATAAAGTGGTTTATGTGTAAATTAAAATTGAAGGGTTGCTCTATGTTATTTCCTGATCGATGAGCCATATTCTGGTTATTTCACCGCGTATCATTATCATCACTGCATGTTTATTTTACTGGTGGGTATAATTGTTTCCATATGCTAATAATACATGAAAATCTATCTTATAAAAAGGGAGCGTATTACATTCATAAGGCAACCTTACTCTTTTGCCCTTGATAAACACTACACCATTGATGGGAATTATTTGCAATTCCTTTCTCCGCAAATGGAATAGGTGTTATGAGCAATGATTTAATTTGGGACTTGGTCTCATGTGTTGGGATTCCAAAGCCATCTCTGTGTTGATATAAGCAAACTGCCATTCGTGCTAAATTTGTACATGCTTCCATGAAATATTGAGGCAAGGAAGAGCACAGTATAAGCTCCTGATTCAACTCTTTCCATGTTTGACTAATGACACTTGATATGTACGCTCGAGCATCAACCTCAGAAACACCATTTTCTTTCATGTAACATTGTATAGATGTTGGTGAACCTCCTCTCTCTTGCTCCGCCTGTATAGACCAAAAATAAGAAGCCAAACGAACGCAAAATTGAATGATGCGTGCGAGAGAGAACAAGATTGTACAGCACAAAAACCACACAAGATACGGATTTTTACGTGATTAGATAAGATGCTTATGTCCACGGCAGCACAAGTGCAGATTTACCTTTCTACACAATATATACACACACATATATAACGTTTATACCCAGTTAATTAAAATTATTGAACTACTTACAGTTGAAGTGGCCAAATCATTGCAAAGTCGAAAAACTGTTGATGCTAAACGAACGACTTTAGGACAACTCCGCATGTTCTCTAATGCTTCCACTGTTATCTCTTGTCTCATGAGAAAGAATGTATGTACCAATATAAGGGGCCCGGATACTGATACCCAACCATTTTTTATGTACTCTTCAAATGTTGGCACATATTTATCATTTTGCCATTTTGCCTCCACTAAGAATGATTTGCACAAATCTGCCCACTAAAAATATTGTAAGGTTTTAATATTGTTAGTCACATATAAATTTTACCAAAGGAAATTTCATGAGAAAGCGTCATGAATGGTAGTCAACTACTACTTATAGGAATGTCAAGAGAAATAAATGGATTCAAGTCCTTTTCAATTAGGTGGTAATCGGAAAGGGTCCAATTCCTCTAATCATCACCATGTATATCTAATTTAAAGGGTAAGATAATGCCACATAGGATTATCCTAATTAAACTGGTGGTTTTGAAAACAACCATGGTGGATTTGGTAGATATTATTTAATTTTTTTTATAGAAACAAATACTTTTACAAACAAATCTCTAATTAACCTCTTCAATATTAGATGTCAACTAAACAATTCTATCTCAAATTTATTTAGTTTATAATTACTTTCTATTTATAATATAATTTAAGAGCTTGTTTGGTAAAATTGTGTGCAAGAAATATAATATATATATATATATATATTATATTATATACTATAATATATAATATACTAGTATATAAGGAGTATATTATATATATAATTTATATATATAAATAGTATAATATATTATTAGTATATAGGTATAATATTATATATAGGCAGTATTAGTATAGTTATATACTTATATATATTATAAGGTATTAGACACCAAGCACTGAATTTTTAACTTGGAGTGAGTGGCACAATCCCTTACTCTCCTCATTCAAGTATGTGCGGGACCAGCATTCAGCATTGGGTTGAGGAATGTCATGGAGGATATGCAATCATTTGACATGAGATGGAGGGATCTATGCCACTCTCATATCGACTAAACCATTAATTTTTTGTGCTTGGACCAAGCATACCCATTTGTTCTATATATATATTTATATATTATATATATAGGTACTATTAATTAGTATACAGTAGACATAATATATATATATACTTTAGTATATAATTATTATAATTATATATAGTATATATATTATATATAGTATATAGTATTTTGTTTTTTCTTTCAATTATTCTTGTAAATACACGCACATAGCAAGAAGCAAATGTGTGTTGCTGTATGTGATGCATATAATTATTAAGTAATAATCATATAGATTAGAAATGTAAGCTTGTTATTGGGTTTTTATAAAATAAATTTGACAGGGAGTTGTTTAGTGTACATCTAATTGGAGGGTTGTATGTAGAAATAATTGAGTTTGTTAAAAGTTAAATAATTTCTACCAAATTCATCCTGGTAATTTTCAAAATAACTAATTTAATTAGAGTAATCCTATGTGGCATTATCTTGTTCTTTGAGTTAGAGATAAACACTGGGGATTAAAGGAATTCAATCCTCTCCAATTACCACATAATTGGAGAGGATCCGAATCCAGAATAAATATATCCGACAGACCCCTTCAATTTTATTGTTGCAGATAGACCCCGAATGAAAATCTGTGACTCTTTACCCTCACGATGTTTATTTGTCAAAAAAAAAAAAAAAACTTTTTCTTTGGATAAAAAGGGGTCTATTCGCAATGGGCGGCAGTGCAGAGGGTTTATTCACAATTAACTAGGAGAAGAATCTAATAAAGAGAAAATAAGCAATCACAAGGAATTGGGCCTTACCGCCTTTCTTAAATAGGGGAGAATATCTAATCCACCATTTCTTTGAGAGTTGCGTGCCATTTCATCAACAATATTACTAATATTTATGAAACATATCTTCATACATTCTGCAAGATTTTCCAACTCTTTGATTTCCCATCTGTAGAGTATTTTCAGACAAAAGATTAATATAAACATGACGAACTGTCTTCGATCCCTTCAAATAAAAAAGATTTACTATATCTAACAAGGTAAGATTTATTATAAACCAAAGTAGGACCTTTCAACAACGCGAGTGAAGAGCTCAAGCTCATCTAAGGATCCATACGCATCATAAATATCATCCACAACTACCAATAGAGCTCCAACTTTTGCAAGCCACTCGCGGCAATATCCAAATTGAGGTTGAAATACTATGATAATTACTCCAAAGAAGCACTCTAATATCCGATCTCTAGCAAATCCCAATTTCTTCCCAAGTCCAAGGTTCATCCACCAACTGATCATACATGTTGAATTTGTTAAGGATATTCACGGAAGAATAAGAATCAAATAAATACATATGTGTAGTGTTGGCCCAGAGAGCTAAGAAAGTTGATGATTTTGTGGCATGACTCAAACCCTCTCCACTATTTTTATAGAGTGTTCCGCAATCTGATAAGGAGAGGCATGAGTCTAAGTTCATGTGTTTCAACAATAATTTTCCTTCTAGTTTCTTAGATTGGATGCGTCTTGATATTCTTTTTCATCAAATTAATTTGTTTTTTTATTATAATACGTACTTCACTTATAGTTATACATGTTTAATTATTGAGGTGGGAATTCATTGTCATTAAATTAAGAATATTATTATATTGATAGTCATTTAAATTAGTCAAAAACAAAAGCGCACCTTGTAACCTTTGCAAGTTCCCTTTGATGTACATTTTGAACCATGTTGAAATCTAGCTTAGCAAACCGAAGCAACGTAGGATTTGTGTCTTCTTCCTTCTCATAAATATCTATGTACCTTCTAGCTTCTAGCCTTGTCGGTCGCCAGTGTGATGGAAGCTCCATCTCATGTGCAATTTCCTTTGCAAAACTTAATATTTCGGACGCATTCATTGTCTTTAGATGTGTGGCTGCAAACGCTCTTGCTGCATCCATTGTGTTCTCCTCTTCAAAAGATAGAGAAGAGGCTTGATATAAGCTCAACAATCCTTTTGCATCATGTGAAAGACTTGCCATGAAACTACCATCATCATCTTTAAAGTAGTCGAAAATATCTGTAATCCCAAAAAAAAGATGCTTATTAGGTTGTATGGGTGAAACTATTCAATGGTGTATGTCTATTCATGGAAAGAAGAGGATTCTTGAATCATTGCATTAATGCTTGAATTCTTTGTTCTGCACTGATCCAAGATATGTTATAACAATTGTTCTAGTAGATAAGGATCATTGGATAGTTTCTCGAGATAAAACTGATGACACATTGAACTAGGTAGTGTTAATTCTTGCGTGCTCTTGTGAGTCATATATTGGGTGTACCATGTTAATTTATGTTATTATCGTTAGCCAACTATATATGATCCAAATCAATACATAACAATTAAAGTACTTTATTTACAAATTAAGTTATGAATCTAATTCATGTTACTGTTGGTTTTATATTCTTTATGCTTAGGTTTATTATACCTTGTGAAATCATTAAGCCATGTTGTCTCAAAAGCCTATAAAGGACAGCAGTGACGTGCAAGCCATCTTTTCGCACCACTTTCGGATAACCACTTATAAGCATATCATTCAAAAGCCTCTCAATTTCCTCCACAAAATAATAGCCCAATCCAAGCTTTTCAATGGAATCAATGAGCATGATTTGAGCAACTGGTTCAGTTTCACTGAGCAAAGCCCTAACCTCTTCCTTCAGCTTCTTAACCAAAGGATCGTATGCCTCCTCCTACACAAACAAATAACTTAGTATCATTAGTTGCTATCTTCCACTTAAGAAGTGATTTTAGTAACCAAAACTATTTTAAGAAAATATATGAGCTTGAATTTGTTGATATGGTGAAGAAGCTAACACTTACATATACAGAAATTAATACATATATGAATTTTTTTGAATAAACTAGAAAAAGAAGAAGAAAAAAACTACATATTTAATTGGTGCATACCGTGAAATTGTTTGTTATAAATCGGATGGCATTGTAATCCCATTGATTAGGTTGATAGTTAGCTAACCTTCGAACCACAGTTGTATTGTTTTCGTCAATGAACCTTTGAACAAGGTCATCTTTTGCCATGATGAGAAAATAGAGAGAGAGAGAGAGAGAGAGAGAGAGAGAGAGAGAGAGAGAGAGAGGTATAAATTAAAGGAAGAAAATAGAGCTTGGTAGGAACTGAGCAAGGTATAAATTAAAGGAAGGAAATAGAGCTTGGTTGGAACTGAGCAAGAAGTTGGAACTTTATAGGGATGCTCATTCACAAGTAAGAACACATGGAACCAACGCAAATTAAAGGAAGGAAATAGAGCTTGGTAGGAACTGAGCAAGAAGTTGGAACTATATAGGGATGCTCATTCACAAGTAAGAACGCATGGAACCAACGGTCATTCACAAGTATGAATACATGGAACCATCTAAGGGAAGTCCCCACATTTATAAGAAGCTAGCACTTCTCCATTTTCATGCGAACCACAGGTTTGTGGTCCGGGAAACATCATAGAAAATTCTCCCACTAAGAACAAAAATCGTATACTCTTTTATGAGAACAAAAACACATTTTCACTAAAATATCGTGCTTGTTGTATGATATGTGCACGGATCTCCAACTTGAAGTTCAGATTACTTTTGTCTCCAATATCGTGCTTGTTGTATGATATCGTGCTTGTTGTATGATATGAGAACAAAAACACATTTTCACTAAAATCCGCGTTGGAGACACCCTAGGGTGTCGGGTGTCTCGGATTTTGGGAGACACCCTAGGGTGTCTCCAACGCGGATTTGGGCCCTTTAGGTGGTTTTAACCGCTCCGTTATCCCCTCAAGCCTATAAATACAAGCCTTAGGCCTCTTTCTTTTGGGATCTGGAATTTTGGAGAATTGGCGAAGCCCTGCCGGAGTGAAGAGTGATCGAGCACTTCAACGCAAGAGAGTTTCTTCGTCAGATCTACATCGCCCGCATCCGATCCTTAGAATTATCCCGTTGTGGTAATTCTAAGAAGAGCAATTATCTCGCTTTTATCGAGATAGGCGCTTCAAGTTTCTAGATCTCCTCGCGGATCAACGAAGCTCTGGACCAGATCTGATTGCCAGGTAGTCCACGGATATCGACGTCCCCGTCACAGGCTAAAGACCCACGCAAGCAAGAGACGACGAACGGATCTTGTGTTTATTTTTAAGAAAGTTGTAATCTTTATTATTTTGTTGTTTGAATTTCATTTGTAACGTTTGAAGTTTAATGAAATCAATGATGAAGGTAACTTTCGACGAAAACATTCTCGATCTTAGATTTTCTTTTCTCTGCCATGGCTCTCTCACAATCCTTCTGAACAAAGCTCTGATACCAGTTATTAGGGATTTGAAACAATCAAATCGAACCATTGCCCTTCCGGACCTTGTGCTTGAGAGTATGAAAGTAAGAAAAATCACAGCAAATAAAAGATAAAAACTTACAGGAAAGTAAACAAGAAAGAACACACCAGATTTAACGAGCTTCGACAATCGTGCCTACGTCCTCGGGAGAAATACCACACAATTCTTTGATTATTATATTGAAGAAGATTACAATACCCACAAATAGGATCTAATCTTTCTGAGATCTCTTTGAAGAATTCTCTCAAAACCCTCTTTTTATGATGTCTAATCTCTTCTAAGGTGTTCCATATATATAGAAAACCTAATACCAAAACAGACTAGGAATTCTAAAATAAAAAAACAAAACAGATTAGAAATCCTAATAACATGTTACCAAAACAGATTAAGAATCATGTTACTAAAACAGATTAAGAATCATGTTACCAAAACAGATTAGGAAACCTTCTATCCAACAATTTGTTTGATTCCAGTTTTGAGTCTACATCCCTTAGACTAACAATCAAAGTGTCTTCTCAAAAGTAATATGAATTTCAAGTTGGAGATCCGTGCACATATCATACAACAATGCACGATATTTTAGTGAAATTGTGTTTTTGTTTTCATAATAGACTCAACTATTTTTGTTCTTAGTTGGAGAATTTTCTATGATGTTTCCCGGACCACAAACCTGTGGTTCGCATGAAAATGGAGAAGTGCTAGCTTCTTATAAATGTGGGGACTTCCCTTAGATGGTTCCATGTATTCATACTTGTGAATGACAAGTGCTAGCTTCTTATAAATGTGGGGACTTCCCTTAGATGGTTCCATGTATTCATACTTGTGAATGACGGTTGGTTCCATGCGTTCTTACTTGTGAATGAGCATCCCTATATAGTTCCAACTTCTTGCTCAGTTCCTACTGTTTGCGTCAAAAGTTGCTGTTTTCATTGCTATCGAATCTATTACAACTTTAGTCGTTACAATAAACTCGAATAAAATAAAAAGTCGATCTTTTTATAAGATCTCCTTACACAATGAAAATAAAAAAAAGTTTACAACTTTATCAAACAAACGCAGAGATCGTTCTTCGGTCTTCTGCTTGCGTGGGTGTCTTTGCCTGTGCCGGGGTTTATCCGTGGACCACCGCCGATCAGATCTGATTGCTGAAAAATTAGGCAGAGCTTCGTCTATCCGCGAAGGGATTGAGAAACTGTAGCTGCGCCTATCTCGGATAAAGCGAGATATTTGCTCTTCTTAGGATTACCGACGAGGGGTAATGCTAAGGAACGGATACGGGTGATGTAGATCTGACGAAGATCTCTCTCTTGCGTTGAAGAACTAGATCCGATCTCTCCTCCTCCTCTCTGAAATTCGTGCACTTTAAGTCTTCAATCCGGCAGGGCTTCGCCTCTTCTCCAAAATTCCAGATGACTGAAAGTGAGGCCTAAGGCTTCTATTTATAGGCGACACCCCTAGGGTGTCCCCAAAAATCTAGAACGCCCCTGGGGTGTTCCCAAAAATCTAGGACGCCCCTGGGGTGTCCCCAAAAATCTAGGAAGCCCCCGGGGTGTCCCCAAAAATCTAGGACGCCCCCGGGGTGTCCCCAAAAATCTAGGACGCCCCCGGGGTGTCCCCAAAAATCTAGGACGCCCCTGGGGTGTCTCCAAAAATCCAGGACACCCCTGGGGTATCTCTAAAAATCTGAGACACTCCGTTGTAAATTCTTCGTCCGAACTCGGATTTTAGTGATTCGAATTGCGTTGGAATTCTGACGAAGAGTTCTATCAGTCCCGATGGTTGGATTATCCGTAGAACGAACGAGACACGAAAGGCGTTGTTCTTTTTTGTAAACATCGCGGGGCTCTCGATTAGCCTGTGCTTTCGTTATTCCGAAATTCTGTCAGCTCACGTAGTTCGTCGATTCACTTCAAGCGTTCACCGACATCAATTGAACTCCTGTGAACCAGATAGTGACGTTCATTGTCATTCCTTAACACTGAGCTGTTCGTGGAGACCTATAGGCAATTTTCGATGCCTACAGATACCCCCTCCAAAGCGTTCCGGACTCGTTTCTTTTATAGAAGAGGCTGTAATACTTTGGATGTGATTGGTCCAGCCTTTAGTCGGTGTAAAGGACCTGTAGTTAGCTTCAACTCTTGGCTCCTTCGATTTTCGGTCTATTCGATGCTTTGACGAATAACCGAAGTTCTTCCGGCGCTGCGTTTATCGCCTGGCCGTCGTCGGAGTCTCGAGTCTACAGCTGAGTTTGGCTCGTGTCATTGAGTTAACTTTAAACTGACTACCTCTGTCATATTGTGCTGACTTAGGGTTTCAGATTACCGTGTGTTAACTTTTTGCCACAACGCGTTGACCGGCGTTGACCTAGGATTACGCGTTGACCGGCGTTGACCCTAGGGTTTTGAATCGTCGAATGTTGACTTTTTGTTGCAACACGTTGACTGGCGTTGACCTAGGGTTACGCGTTGACCGGCGTTGACCCTAGGGTTTCGAATCAACCTGAGGAGAACCAGTTTATACTCGTGTACTCCTGGGAGTTTCGGGAATTAGTTTAGCCTCGTGTACCCGTCGGAGGTTGACGGGTTATCCTTAAGAATATTATACATAATATTTTTTAGGAACTTCCCGTCAATTGTGAGAAATAGTTTAGATTCGTATTCTCATTGGAGTATAAATACGAGTGTTAAATACGTCGTAAAAATATCTGAAAAGGGGATCAAAGTGTATATAAATTATCCCCAAGTCTTTCTACACATTCAAGCCAACACTTCACACCTCATATGCGTGTGAACCATCAAAAAAATGGCTTAATTCGGTCCGGTTCATGTGGGTTTGGTTCGGGTCAAGTGGATTTGGTCCAACCAAAAATAATCCCCATTACAAACCCAATCTCCTCTTTCTTTTCTTTCCTCTCTTCTTTTCTTTCCTCTCTTCATTTCCAGCAACCCGTCCCCTTTTTTTTTCTTTTTTTTTTCGGTCCCCAGCAAGAAGTCCGGTCTCTCTTTATCATTTTTTTTTTGTTTTTTGAGCTTCTTCCTCCCCAAGAACTCTCCCTCGTCAAGAGTGCAAAGCCTTTTAAACCCATCTTCTTCAAATCCTTCACCCTCTCCTTCTAAACCTTCTTCTTCTCCAAGGTTTTCCAGCAAGGCAAGGAGGATTTTGGTCAACGAAATTTCCTCTTCAAAGGTGCTTCAAGCTTGGGTAAGAATCTCTCTCTTTATGGCTTTTTAATTTGGTTCTCTTCTCTTGAATCCTCCAAATTTCAAAACCCTAATTTTTGATTTGAGGAAAAATTCAAATCTTGATTTTTTTGTTCTTGAAAGTTGGCCGAAATTAGGGACATGAATTCCCTCACTTTTGATTGCAACATTTTCCTAATTTCATGCATACATATATGGCCGAAATTTGAGGGGACTTTTGTGTAAAAAGATGGACTAAACTTTGAGGGGGTTTTGTGCAAAAAGATGGACTAAACTTTGAGGGGGTTTTGTGCAAATTTTCGGCTGAAATTTTGGAGGGCTTTTGTGCAAATTGGAGGGCTGAAATTTGTAGGGTTTTTTATGCAAATTGGAGGGCTGAAATTTTGGGGGGTGTATGTGTAAATATGAAACTGAAATTTGAAGGGCTTTTATGCAAATTTGGGCCGACATTTGAGGGGGATTATATGCAAAAGAGGGCTGAACTTTTGAGGTTTGGATGTTTGAGACAATTGGCCACAACTTTGAGGTGTACTTCATGCAAAGAGATCACAAATTGTTGAGGGTTTATTTGCAAAATTACCCATAAATGTTTTAGAGGGACTTATTTGCAAAAAGGGCAGAAAATTTAAGGCTGAAAACCCAGAAGTTTAGACCACAAAACCACGATCAAAGTTTCGAGAGGGATATGTGGGCGTTAAATTGAAATTTGTGAAGGGGTCTATATGCAAAATTGGCTAAATTCTACAAAAGGGCTTATTTGCAAAAT